ATAATCAGAACCAGCTCATACAAATACATATGTTCAGGTTTTCTATAAAGCAGTAGAGACTTTTACATTAAAAAAGGCCAAAAATAGATATGATAGGTGTAAAAAAAAAGTCCCTCATAACAATAGTAAGAGTTATCCTCCTTTGATGCTGAAGTTGCCCTTTCTCAGGATTTAGCTTTGGTGCAGAGCAGGACCTTGTGACATCCTGGAGTCCTTCCCTGCACAGCTTGTTTCCAGTGCACTAGGTTAAATGTTTCTGCTTTAGAGGATGAGACCCAGAAGTCCAGCTTGGCTAAACACGACATGGGTAACATCATAAAAGAGAGAGAAGATGTTATAAAACAAATGCTTTTGAGCCTGAGTGATAGATGGCTCTACTCTAAGTCAGAATGGATTTTCAGTGATGTTAGATACATTTCAGAAGAGAAATCCCAAGGAGTCTTATTCTCTTCTCTGGGCATAGAAAGTGCAAGGACATGACTTTGGCTGTGACAACCACATGGAGCAGAGAAAGGGCTCTAATGCTAGTTCTTGATTTGCAACTTACTGGTACTGACATCTTAGGCAAGCTTGGTAACCTCCCTGGGCTATGGTTTCATCATCCTTAAAATAAGATGGCTGGACTTGATGGCCTCTAATTCCTTCTAGACATAGTTTTTTCAGGAGTCTTTGGCCATGAATTTACAGAACAAGTTGATTTTTGTTGGATAAACAACGAGGTTTAGGGTTTTCCCACCTTCTCCAAAGTTCTGAATGATTGGTTGTCAGATTGCTTTATTATCATAAGCATGAAGCTTCAGTTTAAAAGAGCATATGAGCTACTAGTTAGATTAGTTACTTGGTATTCAGGAGACTAAACAGTTGTGTGTTTGTTTAATGTCATTTCAGTAGAGGTAGTCCCTGGGTTTCATACATCTTTCCAAACATATAATTTGTTGAGATTCACTCTTATAGGAGATGGATCACTTGGTAGAACATGAATTTTAAAATATAACATGTTATAGCAGAAACTTTGCACCTACAAAATCTCAGCAGAGAGTTATATTACTCATAGGAAAGTCAGTAACTTTTTGTCCTAGTATAGAAAATGTTACAGTTATACTTGGTTGATTGACACCTCCAATATTATAAAGAGGATACACAAGGTCACTTCACAGCATCACTTTAAAAGCTGGGTGATGATTACATGATCAAGTAGGATTGAGAAGAAAGCGATGGTATGTGCAAAGGCACTTTGGCTTGTCTCAGCATTTATTTAATGAGTAAGATTTCATGAGGATTCTGGTTTGTGTTTTGATAGGTATAGTAGCATCAGCAAAAACAGTAATGTTAAATCTATGGCTGTTGTTAAGTGATGGATCCTGAAGGAGCTCCTTTCTTTAGAGAAAGCTTTAATATCCCAGGAAGTGTATGCATAGGGGAGGTGAGTGAAAATATTCTCTGATACTGTATTTACCTGGGTCCTTATGAGTATTCATTTCATACACATTCTAGAGCAGCCTGCTGCATCCTCACTGCCAGCATGGCCTTCATGATGGAGCACAAGCAACATTAGTGTCTGATTACTTGGTCATCTATGGAGGGGGAACTGCCTTCATTTTTCCAGAAGGACTTTCTGGGTGCAGATAAGTGAGGATACATCCATATTCTTCTTTTTTTTCTTGTATATGGTATCTATCTTAACTGTTGTACAGTAAGTGGATATTCAATTCTTAGCAACATAGCCTACCTGTTATATACCAGGGACTCATAGAGACAGAAGAATCATTCCTTAACTGCCCCCACTCCCCAACTCTTCTGAGAGGCTTTCTATAGTGAGCACAATAAATATCAGCCCTCTATCACTCTCTATCCCCTTATCTAGATTTGTTTCTCTTCATAGCTCTTGTTACTACCCAGTCCTCTGTGAAGTGGTTTATCTGATGGTCTGATAGACTGTATACATGATAAACTGAAAACTTCTTGAGGCCAGGGACATTTTCTATCCTGCTTACTATTTTGAAATTTCTTGGCACAGAGTTCTAGATGAGTTGGTATGGATGATGGTCTGAGTGGTCCTTGATTTTTCATTCCTCCTGTCCTTCAGTGCTTTTAAAGCACTAGTTATATGCTAGATTATGTGAGACGCTGGTTACAAAGATGAGTGGGGCACAACATTTTGCTCTTAGTTGACCCTTAGGCTAGAAGAAGAAACACTTCTGAAGTAGTATGTGCAACAAAATGGGCACTGAAATGAGGTATTTGCAGCAAGAAGAAGGATAATGCTGAGAATCCCTTGAATGACTATTCAGCAAACAAACCCATGCATGTGTTACCATGATCCTTATGTGTGCCACTACACCAGACATCAGTTTTTGGAAATTTGAATTTCAGTCTAATAGGAGCAGATACTTTTTATTTTACTTGAAAAAAAATAAGGTTTTATGCTTCATGAAGCCTTAAGAATACCAGAGATTTTATATTACTTGTCTTCATGGTCTCCTTGAGAGAAGAGAGGCAGAAAATTGAGGCCCAAAAAAGGATGAGTGTTTTCCCATGGCTCTATGTGTGAGTCAGCTGTGAAGCCAGGCACAGGCCTTGTTCTTTTTATTTTCTTGGAAAGATCATTCAATTTTTCATACTGTTTTTCTCTCCCATAAAATCATTCTGAGATAATGAGAGTGAAGTCCTCATTAGAGCCACTTCTGGGCCACAGATGCAAGGTATAGGCACATAGCTGATTTAGATAATTTATCCAATACAACACCAAAAGGTCAATTCACTTAAAAGAATCAGTTAGACTCAGAATGGATGCAGGATGGCATGAAAGCCTGCTAACAGCTTTTTCACTTTTAAATCAGGCATTCTGGAATTATATAAGCATGAACTTAAAACTTGAAAATGTTTCTACTAATGAACAGTGGGTCATTCAGAGATACTCCATTGTCCTGGGACAGTGGTAGAGATCGTGGCTCTCCAGTGTTAATTTTTATTCCTTCTAAGTTAGTAGATAAGCAGTCACTCTTATAATTTTTAAAGGGGGAGGGGAGATAATGATATGCAGTTATCTTATTACTTTACCTCTTTGAGATGTATTTTTAAGTTAGATAAAATAAAGTCCAAAACCAAAATGAGCAGAGCAAAAGAATCCATATTCATGCTAAACTTTATCAAGGTGCAGACCACAAGGTGCTTACCAGTTTACATGTGACAAAGTTTGAGTCTTACCTTTGGAATTCTCCTCTTCCTCTTCTTGTTGTTTACTCTTTGACCTTTCCTTTTAATGGCTCATTCTTCAAACCTAGTTAAGAATAAAAATCTCTGCAGAATGTGATCCAGATAAAAGTCTAAATTTCATAAGTCATTTTTATAACTTGTAAGGGATCATTTAACATTGACAAAGGACTTCCTGTTCAAGAACAGAGATAGTTTTTTTCTATTTAGAAAAGTACAACATATTTTATAACTTTTTAATGGGCTCTCATGAGAGTTTATAAAGGAGATAATGTAAATGAAAAGGATTTGTAAACTATAACACATTATATAAATATATTCTTATTTTGATATAATTCTATTCCATGCAGTCAATAATACCAACTAGACTGACTCAGTTGTGTTTTACAAAGTCTAAAGAAAAAGATTACTAGCTTCCGATAGAGACTCCAGATTTGATCTCTTTGGTGCCTGTTCCATTATAATGTAAAATAATCTTATAGTCATTGTGTTTTCTAATCTATTTACATGGATTTTAGACTTATTAAGGCTCTTTGGATGATTTACTCATGAGGTCGATTTTTTTACTCCTATATCCATTTTCTTCCTATCATGATCATTTTACTTTTCATCTGCCTAAGAAAAGCAGGTGCCCATGCAGGATTTAATTAAAAAGCCATTGCCAGCTCTAGAGCTATTGGTTTCCTACATTACTGTAGTCATGTGAAAGAAAATAAGAACTGGGGCTATATTTCTCAAGAGGCGTTAAGAATTCTTTCTGATGAACAGTTCCCCATCCATCTTCAGGAAAATCTCAAAGGCTTGAGGTGTGTAAGCATGGCTGAGGCCTGAAAAACTGTCTTCAATATTTTCCTGGTTCACTTTGTATGTACCATGGCCCAAACCAACCTTCTTCAAGACATTAGTTTGTCCTGAAATTTTATTGTATTTCTGGGTCTGGATAAGTAACAGAAAACAAGTCTGTCTGTCTTTCGTCCGTGCCTCTCTCTCTCATTAAATGATCCTTCTTTTTATCCTATCTTTTTATCCTCTCTTTCTTTGAAAAAAACCGACTCCACACATGCCCTTCACCAGAGGCTGGCCTGGTCTGGCGCCCAAGGAGCTGTTCAAGGTGCTGAAAATATTTCTGCTACAGAGCCAGGAACCAATTAAGTAAATAAAAGCTGTTCAACTCCAGCTGTTTTCTTTGAGGTCAATCAGCTTTGGTCGGACCCGCACCCAATGCCCCCTTCTAACAACACAAAGAAGTAGGTGCTGAGATCATATAAAAAACTCAAACATCTTCAGATAAGGCGAAGGAGAGGAAAGGGCAAGGAGCGGATACATTCAGCCTGGAAAAGAAATCAATTCAGCTTTGCAAACCCCAAATCCATATATTTTTACTCTCATCTAATATTACAACTTTTCTTGTCTCACAGGAAAGAAACTCCTGACTTCACCCTGTATACCTCCCAAATTCTTACATAACATAAACCACAAACCGCCAAAGAATGGAGTTGGTTACTCCTAATTTGTACGTATTGGTGGATTTTAACATGCATGGATTTCAAAGAGATTTGTGCCCATATAATAAACGTAGACGAATTAGGTGTGTGTGCGCGTGTGCGCGCGCGCGTGTGTGTGAAAGACAGAGAATATGAATATTTGTGCATGAGGAGAGAGGAAGGAAAGAAAAAGGGAGGAGAAGGGAGTAAGATAAATTGAGCCTAGAAAACCTCACCCCTGGGCTCCGCAAGGCTTTACCTGCCCCCTTGCGATCCCCTGACCCGTGGAGCAAATGCAGCCAGCTAGCCGCAGATCTCTCGCTGGGGTCCCATCGCCGCCGCCGCCGCCGCCGCCGCCGCCGCTCCCGCCTCGCCGAACTCAGCCCTGCGCGTGATTGACAGCTGGGCGTCCCGCGTGCCCGCGCAGCCGAGGCCCGCGCAGCCGCCGCCGCCGCTGAGGGGCGCGGATGTGCAGCGAGTGGGCGGGGCCTGGACTGGCCAGCCCTGCTTCCGGGGTCGGGTGGTCCCTGGGCCTTCTGGAAGGCGGGGTCCTGTGCCCTGTGCAAGCGCGGGGCCGGACACCTTCTCTACCTTGTCCAGTGTTCTTCTGCCCAGCACCGTGAATGGACCTAGCAGGCTCCACACGCGTATTTTTTCAGATGGTCGGAGAGGCAGACTCACACCACTCCCATTGGTAGAGGCTTCTCCGGAGCCTATTTTTTTTGTCCTTGATGAGACACGAGGTGAGGAACTGCGCGGCTGGCGAAGCGCTGCCCACCTGAAAGAACCTTCTCACTTCTGTCAGCGGTTGGACACTTTCAGTGCCTCCTCTTGTCCCTGACCCCAGGGACGTACGTGGATGAGACGGAAGAATGATGAAAATGATTTAAATGATAATATTTAAGAAAAACACACAAATACACAAAGGCAAGCACCCTAGAAAATTACCTGTGAGCGCCTCAGAAAAATGTGTGTAGGTGTGGGCAGGTTAGCATATAAATACAACGACCCCTGCTTCATGAGACTTTCTGCAGACCCCTGGTAAGTGGCCTGTGATGAAAATGATCACTAAAATAGTTAATATTTGCACAGCCATTCTACACGTAAAATAACATCCAATATTTGCACAGTGTTTTCTATGTCCCTTTGGAGTTCTTTCTATCTGAAGTGAGATAAAGTAAGAGATCAGTTACATATGCCAAGATGTCCTTAAAATGTGAATTATCAGCATTATTTTGCCTTGTACAAACCATGGTTTTTATTTATCAGCTTAACAAGCATTAGGGAACAGAGAAGATACTTTTGAAGAAGCTAAGTGTTCACTTCCAACGCACTGCACAATTTCACTGAGTTATATTACATAGAAACATTTACCAGTGAATATCTTATTAATTCATTATTCAACACACATTTATTGAGTGTCTGCCATTTAGAGCACAAAGGGAGAGATACAAACAGAAGCATTTTGGAAAGTCATGGAAAAGAGAAGTCAGGCGAGGTTGCAGACTCCTGAGCTGTTTTCCAGAGGGAAGCTGTGATTTGGCCTCAGCCTGCCTTTGTAACCTTAGATTTCATGGCTTGCCTTCCAAGTTCATTTCCCATCTCACTGAACATATTCTGTGTTCTTCAAACACAGCTTGCACCTCCTTCCTTCCCTTTATTTACTTCAGTGGTTTTCTGTGCTTTCCCCCTCATATCTGTCTCCCAGTGCTGCCCATTTGGTCCTAGCATGACTAGCCTCTTTTTCATACAGCATTCTTTGATATGCTTGAGTATGATTCTTTGTTCTTTATTTTGACTATATATACACACATATATGGAAATCTCTATCCTTACCTGTCTTGTACTGCTACTTTTATTTTTGCCTTGCATTCAGTTTAGTTGCTCAGTTGTGTCTGACTCTTTGCAAGACCATGGACTGCAGCACACCAGGCCTCCCTGTCCATCACCAACTCCAGGAGCTTACTCAAACTCATGTCCATTGAGTCGGTGATGCCATCCAACCATCTCATTCTCTGTTGTCCCCTTCTCCTCTTGCCTTCAGTCTTTCCCAGCATCAGGGTTTTTTTCAATGAGTCAGTTCTTTGCATCAGGTGGCCAAAGTATTGAAGTTTCAGCTTTAGCATCAGTCCTTCCGATGAATATTTGGAACTGATTTCCTTTAGGATTGACTGGGTGGATCTCCTTGCAGTCCAAGTGACTCTCAAGAGTTTTCTCCAACACCACAGTTCAAAAGCATGAATTCCTCGGTGCTCAGCTTTCTTTATGGTCCAACTCTCACATCCATACATGACTACTGGAAAAAACCATAGCTTTGACTAGATGGACCTTTGTTGGCAAAGTAACATCTACTTTTTAATATGCTATCTAGGTTGGGCATAGCTTTTTTTCCCAAGGGGCAAGCGTCTTTTAATTTCATGGCTGCAGTCACCATCTGCAGTGATTTTGGAACCAAAGAAAATAGAATCTGTCAGTGTTTCCACTGTTTCCCCATCTATTTGCCATGAGGAATGATGGGACAGAATGCCATGATCTTAGTTTTTTGAACGTTGAGCTTTAAGCCAACTTTTTCACTCTCCTCTTTCACTTTCATCAAGAGGCTCTTTAGTTATTCTTCTCTTTCTGCCATAAGGGTGGTGTCATCTGCATATCTGAGGTCACTGAGATTTCTCCTTGCAATCTTGATTCCAGCTTGTGCTTCATCCAGCACATTTCACATGATGTACTCTGCATATAAGTTAAATAAGCAGGGTGACAATATACAGCCTTGACATACTCCTTTCCCGATTTGGAACCAGTCTATTGTTCCATGTCCAGTTCTAACTGTTGCTTCCTGACCTGCATACAGATTTCTCAGGAGGCAGGTCAGGTGGTCTGCTATTCCCATCTCTTTAAGAATTTTCCACAGTTTGTTGTGACCCACCCAGTCAAAGGATTTGGCATAGTCAATAAAGCAGACGTAGATATTTTTCTGGAACTCTCTTGCTTTTTCAATGATCCAATGTATGTTGGCATTTTGACCTCTGGTTCCTCTGCTTTTTCTAAATCTGACTTGAACATCTGGAAGTTCATGGTTCGCATACTGTTGAAGCCTGACTTGGAGAATTTTGAGCATTACTTTGCTAGAGTGTGAGATGAGTGCAATTGTGCGGTAGTTTGAACATTTATGGTGTTGCCCTTCTTTGGGATTGGAATGAAAAGTGACCTTTTCCAGTCCTGTGGCCAATGCTGAGTTTTCCAAGTTTGCTGGCGTATTGAATGAGGCACTTTAACAGCATCATCTTTTAGGATTTGAAATAGCTCAACTGGAATTCCATCACCTCCACTAGCTTTGTTCACAGTGATGCTTCCTAAGCCCTGCTTGACTTCATATTCCAGGATGTTTGACTCTAGGCGAGTGATCACAACATCATGGTTATCTAGGTCATTAAAATCTTTTTTGTAGAGTTCTTCTGTGTATTCTTCCTACCTCTTCTTGATATCTTTTGTTTCTATTAGGTCCATACCATTTCTGTCCTTTATTGTGCCTATCTTTGCATGAAATATTCCCTTGGTATCTCTAATTTTCTTGAAGACATCTCTAGTCTTTCCCATTCTATTGTTTTCTCTATTTCTCTGCATTGGTCACTGAGGAAGACTTTCTTATGTCTCCTTTATATTCTTTGGAACTCTGCATTCAAATGGGTATATCTTTCCTTTTCTCCTTTGCCTTTAGCTTTTCTTCTTTTCTCAGCTATTTATAAGGCCTCCTCAGACAACCATTTTGCCTTGCATTGGCATTATTTATTTACCTATTTACTCTCCCTTGTTATGCTTGTAAACTCCTGAAGCAAGAATTTACCCACCATCCACTATGTAGTCTACACTATGACTAGTACCATCAATTTGTAAAAACTGAGCATTCATTTATGGTAAATGAATAAATTAGTAAATGAGTGATGGGATCTGGAGATGAACCTTGACAGGTTGATATGTTTTGGATAAATGGAGGAGAGAAGAGAGTGTTATGACAGGCTTAGGGAATAAAAAAGCAGAAGATTTAGCTTGCAGGTTCAGTTCTCATATTTGTTCCTAAGATGTTGGATCCTTAGGAGGATGGAGAAGGGGCTCCATATAGTTTGTTTACTCACTGATAAGAGGCAGAACCTTCAGCCACTAGACACTTTGGTGGTGGCCTCAATTGCTCCTGGGTTGACTGCAGCCCGGTCAGTCTCTGTCTGCCTGGCAATGAGCCTGCCACGCCAAGGCCGCAGCGTTCTGTACCAGGCGGTAGCTTGTGATTAGTATGCGCTCTGTGTTCCTGGACAGAACAGATGTCTTGTCTGCTTTTTTCTGCTTCACCATGATGGCAGGTTCCCAATGATCAGGATCAAATTTCACATTTTTCTGAAATCCTGACCTGGGCTGAAAAATTCTGTTTGGTCAGTTCTGAGACCCAGCCTCCCTCTTTGCAGAAAATCATTACAGATTCGTGTGGACAGAGGGTGCAGCAGTACCTAGCCTTGAGTGAGTGGGGGCGGGTGACAGGATGGAGCACTTTTTCCTCTTTCAGATATTTCAGTTTGCATATAGTCACACCTCGAAGATATTGCATATTTGCTTCGAGCCTATTGCAACAAAGCAATTATAGCAATAAAGGGAATCCTAGCAATTTTTTGGTTTCTCAGTGCATGTAAAAGTTATATTTACATTATACTATAATGTATTAAGTGTGCAATAGCATCATATCTGAAAATGTAAATAATTTTAAAGTGCTTTATTGCTGAAAAATTCTAACCATCATTTGAGCCTTTAGCAAGTTATAAGCTTTTTGTAATAGTAACATAAAAAAGATCACTGGTAATAGATCACCATAACACATGTAATAATAATGAAAAAATTTGAAATATTGCAAGAATTGCCAAAATGTGGCACACAGACACCAAATGAGCAAAGCCTATCGGAAAATGGCATTGATGCACTTGCTTGATGAAGGGTGGCTGCAAACCTTCAGTTTGTAAAAAATGTAACTCTGTGAAGCACAGTAAAGGAAAATGCAATGAACTGAGAGGTATATATGTATATAAACACAACTTACTTTAAAATTTTTATTTATTTATTTATTTGGCTTCCACTGGTCTTCATTGTGGCATGGTGGATCTTTGATCTTATCTGCGGCATGGGGGATCTTTAATTGTGGCATGCAAACTCTTAGTTGTGACCTGTGGGATCTAGTTCCCTGACAAAGGATCGAATCTGGGCTCCCTGGATTAGGAGGGGCCGTCCTACCAGGGAAGTCTCACAACTAACTTTTGTACATTTATTTTGTCTCCTAAAACTTTACTGAATTTATTGATCATTCTAACTGTTTTTTTTTGGTAGAGTCTTTAGAAGTTTATATAAGATCATATCACTCTGAAACAAAGATAACTTTACTTCTTCCTTCCCATTTTTTTTCTCTATTCCTTCCTTCCTTCTCTTTCTTTCTGTTCTAATAGAAACTGATAGTCTAATTCAGAATTCTAATCCAATCTAGAATCTAATCTAATTCTAATCCAAGAATTCTTGGAGACATGGAAGCATGCTTGTATAATGTAAAATGCCTCAGTGTGTGTGGTAGCTTCATTCTCCCAGCTTACCTGGGCTCCAGCTTTGCTGGTTGCATGCACAAGCCCTAAAAAAATGCCATCTAACTAAATGGCAGACCTTGTATAAAGCAGCTTCTCTAAGTTCCAGAGGAACCAGTGC